ATTCATTCTTATCATAATAATTTTAAATTCATTTCTTTTTTTAATCAATGATAAATATTTTATTGGTCTAATTTTATTTCCTTTTTTCTCTCTCCCTCCCTCTCTCTTCCTCTCTCTTCCTCTCTCTTCCTCTCTCTCTCCCTCTCTCTCTCTCTTTCTTTTCTTTGTATTTAAAAAAGCTAAGAAAGAAAATGAAAGATAAAGAAAAGTTACATTTGAAAATTTCGCGGGATCAAATAGACAGTCAATGTGATGGAATATTTAGGAATACATTCCACTCATCCATTCCATCATTTTTTGAGGTCACCAATATCCTTCCTATTTCATTCTATTCATTACAGATATATATATATATATATATATATACATATATTCATTACAGGTATTTATCCTTCACTTCATATTCTTGTTCTTCATTTCATTATTATTATTATTGTTGTTTATTAATGTTATTTATTTGTTTATTTATTTATAGCATTTTTATATTTATTATTATTATTGTTTATTAATGTTGTTTATTTGTTTATTTATTTATTTGTACATTTTTATATTTATTTACTTATTTAATTTGCTTAATTTACCTATTTAATTAATTAACTTATTTATTTATTACTACTATTTATTATTTTTAAAATATTATTATTAAAGTATTGGTATTAACCAACACCCTTCTGATTTTAGTCTATTTCATTCACTACAAAATATATCATATATTTATCCTTTTATTCAATAATTTCATATCCTTATTCTTTATTTCATTATCATTATTATTATTGTTACTATTATTCATTTATTTATTATTACCATTAATTATTACTAAGTATTATGTTTTATTATTTATTAATTCATATTTGATAGCATTGAATGATTATTATATCTTAATATTGTCTGTAGAACATTATCCATTTTTTTTCTTCTTTACTCTCTGAAATTAATTATTGCTATTAATTTCTATTATTTTAATTTTTTAATTAATGTAGGAATTATTGATTTCTTTCTTCTTCATTGATGTAGTAGTAGTATTTGAATAAAAATTTCTGATTGCTTTTTTTTAAAATCGATTTATAGCATTTTTTTTTTTAATTAAATGAGTGATCTTTCTTTCTTATTATTTTTTGGTATTAATTATTTCAAATTAATTAGTAATTTTTAATTCTCAAAATTTAATTATCATAATTATAATTATGCAAATTTCTGATAAATTTTTACTAAAAAAGAATGAATCACAAATTTAGTTGTGAAAAGAATATGAAAAAGTTTCATTTTTTGTTGTTTCTTTAAATTTATCAAAAATTTTTTTGATAGAAATGTTAGATAATTAAGAAAGTGATAGACTGAGAGAATTTGTTGAGAACGTGATAAATTGAGAGAGTTCGTTGAGAAAGTGATAGATTAAGAGAATTTGTTGAGAAAGTGATAGATTGAGAGAATTTGTTGAGAAAGTGATAGATTGAGAGAATTTGTTGAGAAAGTGATAGATTGAGAGAATTTGTTGAGAAAGTGATAGATTGAGAGAATTTGTTGAGAAAGTGATAGATTGAGAGAATTTGTTGAGAAAGTGATAGATTGAGAGAATTTGTTGAGAAAGTGATAGATTGAGAGAATTTGTTGAGAAAGTGATAGATTGAGAGAATTTGTTGAGAAAGTGATAGATTGAGAGAGTTTATTTTGCTGTCAGATGAAGTTATCAATAAATGTACATTCCAGCTTTTAACATGATTAATTTGTCATTTTTTCCCATTTCTATTTTTATTTTTAAAATTTTCTCATTAATCACTTATTATATTCTTTCTCTCTCTCCCTCTCTCTCTGTCCCTCTCTCTTTCACCCTTATCCTCTTCTTTTTCTTTTTCCCTTTCTTTCTAAATAAGTATTAATACTAATCCATCTATTCCTTTCCTTTTCAATTTCTTCAAACTTTTATCTCTGTTATTAGAGAAATAGTTATATTCTCTCTAAATATTAGCATCATTTCTCAATCATTCATATCATTTCATCTTCTTCGTCTAGTCAGCTATCAGTGATAATAAAATATCAATAAGCTATCAATGATAATAAAAATTGCTATCATTCATTCTTTATTTCCTCTATTTGCTTATCATTAATTATCAGTAGCATTATTTTTATGTTATAATTTATATTCACTTATCTAATTTACGATTCCTCGCTTAATCAGCTATCAGTGATAATAAAATATGTTGCTATCATTCATTCTTTATTTCCTCTATTTACTTATCATTAATTATCATTAGTTATCATTACTCCTATAATAATAGCATTATTTTTAATGTTACAATATATATCACACCTATTTAATTTATGATAAATTTCTTTGAACTATAATTAAATTTGATAATCAGTTGTTTTTTTTGTTTTCAGTTTTTATTTTATATGTTATATTACGGGTAACTTTATTTTGTGTACATTAATAAATTAAGTAATATTTTTAAATTATTTTTTTACTTCTCTTTTAAAACTCAATTGGAATAAACAATTTTTACTTTTTTCAAAATATTTTCAGTCATAATTTTGGAGTAATCAAAAAGAATGAAAAATTCATTGAATAATTTATAACTATTACAATTATCTACCTAATAATTATCACAACTAATTGATAATTGATAATTTTGATAATTTATTTAAAATGGAATTGTGAAAATTTTTTTTTTTCCATTTCATAGAAATGATTAAAAAATTTCCGTAGGAATTAAATTGGCGCTATCACTAAGAAAATATCCAAATAAATATCATTCGTAAGATAACTAAGCGGCTACGGCTACAGTTATTCAATGAGCTAAGATATCATCCATATATTATCAATGAGTCATCCATTCCTGAAAATGAGTAATTATATCAAAACTAATTTGAAAATTTTCATTATATGCTTTTTGACCGATTAATTCAATTTAATCAATGACCAATAGCCGTTATTTGATTTCGATTTGATCAGTATCTATCTGATTTCGAAATTTTACGGATAGTTGACACTTCAAATGATGATAATATTAATGATAATGAATTTTAATGATAATTAAAATGATATTTCAACAAATTCTATATTCGTATTCCGATGAAACTGTTGGAATAGGCTTATTGCAATATAAGTCATTTCATTTTCAAACATTCCTATTTGTTATTATTTCCTAACTTTTCATTTCCATTCATTTTCATCAATTTTCATTTTGCAATTTCAGCAACATTCCAATCTAATTAATTCTAATAATTCTGAAATTGTGATGTTTTTCAAATCACGTATGCGCAAATCGAAATCATGGCCCGCTCCCCCGAATATTTCCCGTCAAACGGTACGATATTTGTTTCATTTTCCTTTTGATTTTAATTATCATATCATTAATTGTTCTTCATCTCTGTTTTTCTCTCTCTCCTTTTCTTACCTTTCATATTTGATTTAATTCATTTTAAGTTAAATTAATTCAGTTCAAATTTTCATAATAATAAATTGTTGTAGTGATAATGAAATAAATTTGTTATCATATTTGTTTTATGAAAAGTATAAAAAAAATAAAAGGATATTAAATTTTAATATTCTTAATATTTGCATTTAAATTTATCTAAACTACAAAGGTTAAAAGAGGAATGCGTTAAGAGTTTAAATTTATTGTACTCTTAGATAGAATTATTTATCATTTCATTAATTAAATATTAATTAAATAATTTTTCTGATACTTAAATTATAATACAAATAGGAATAAACTTAATTAATTAATCTTATGCTATATTTGCAGCGTCAGATTGAAGTACTTCATGATAGTCGTGAAGATACATTCATATGTGAAAAAAATACTGCATACAGTTGCAGTAATGGTAGTGGCGATGGCGGAAGTGGTAATAGTAGTAATATTAGTAATGCGACAAATGGATCTGATCAACCGACTTCACACCTAAATTTTGCTATCTCCGAATTAGTAAGTTGAAATAATGGGTTTCTTTGTTTTAATACATCATTATAAAAAAAAGTTCCCAAAAAATCATATCAAACATTTAATCCGGATCCGGTTTATTCCCTTATTTATTTCTTTACTTATTATTCATTGATAATTTCCAATTTCCAGGTGAATACGGAACGAAGTTATGTTCGTGAATTACAATCTATCGTTGATTTTTATATAAGGCCATTTGAAGCACCTGAAAATGAACATTTAATAGCAGCACATTTAAGGGATCGTTCTGATATTTTATTTGGCAATATTCCTGATCTGGTTAGTCTTGCCTATTTCCTATTTCATTAGGTTTAAATTCATTCGGAAGTTTAAAAATTTGATCAATTTTAAATTGCTGTTACATAATGATTACTATTACTCTTATAATTATCACTGTTTTTGATAACGATTTTAATTATTATATTAACATTGCTAGCTATTATTTACTTATTTATATTAATACGATCAAAATTAACATAGTTGTAATTACGATTTTAGGTACATATTTATTTATTTTATTTTTGCACTAATATATTTATTGCTTAATTATTTTAATTAACAATTTTATATATTTCCTATTTATGTTACAGTTAAATTTTCACAATAACAATCTTTTGGCTGATTTTTTGACGGCTGGAAATTCAATAATTGAAATATGCCAATGCTTTCTCAATCATCGCAATAAATTCCTTCAACTTTATCATCGTTACTGTCAAAATAAGCCATTGAGTGAAACTTTACGACGAGAACAACAACCGGATGGAACGGTTGCGAAATTTTTTACGGTTATTTTTTTCTTTTTTCATTTTATACGATAATTTCTGATAAGACGAAATGGAAATAAAAACGGAAAATAATTTCCACAAAAATAACAAAAATGCAATATATTTAATCTTTTTTTCAAGCCATAAAAGTTAAAAATTAAGATAATGAAACATTTAATTAAACTTTGACCCTTGATTTAGTAATTAATTATCTTATTTTTATTACATTGGAATATTGCCATTGGTTTTCATGTTTCAGGAATGCCAAAAACGAGCTGGACATCCATTACCATTAAGTGCTTATTTATTAAAACCGATACAGAGGATCACCAAATATCAACTTTTACTAAAAGTACTTAAATTAATTTCTTTTTCTCCTCATCTATTAATTACGAGCTATTTTTTGTGGAAAAAAGTTTTTCAATATTTATTTAATTCAAGGAAATATCACTTATTCAAATTTGATAATATGACTAATCAATTAATTAATTTAATTTTCTATTCAAAACTTAGAGGATTATTTTAGATTATCGTGTCTAATCTTCTTCTAAAATAATTTCCTGATTTCAATACGATTTAAATTCTATGAATTAATCATAATTATAAATTTACATATTTTCTTATCTTCCAGGAAGTACATCGTCATTGTGCTGATCAGGTTAAGCCTCATGTTGATGAAGCTTTATCATCAATGTTAGATTTATTGGCTCAACTTAATACAGCCATGCATCAATTGCATATTGCGGGATTTGTAGTAATTATTATTTACTTCTTTTTTTTGTTGTAGTAATTTAAAACTTAAGTTTTTAAAGAAAGAAGTATAGCTAAATTAAAATATGCAAATTAATGATTGAATTCTTTATTTTAGGGTGATCTTAATCAAATGGGTCCATTAAGACTTCAAAATGAATGTGACATTTATGCATTCAAAAAGAGGACACGTCGTCTTAATAAAGCTCAACGTCGACATCTGTTCCTCTTTGATGGTGGTTTATTATTCTGTAAAAAACGTTCTCAATTGTTGACAAACGCTTCTGAATACTATGAACATAAATTATCCATACCAGTAAGTAATAATTATCTATTTCATACCAGCAAGTAATAATTATCGATATAATTTTTAGTACTAAGATTGATTTGACTAGAAACTTTTTTATAACTTTAATTTTTGTTTCAAATGTTTGTTTTTATTTTTTGAAAAACATTTGTTGCATTAATTTTAGACGTGTAGTCTTGGCTTCTCAGAAACATCAAAAACATCATCTGCACGTTTTGAAGTTTGGGATGAGACAAAAGGTGAAGCATTTGTTGTACAACCAATTGATGAAACTGCTCGAATAAAATGGATACAACGACTTTATAGGTAACATTTTAAGTTTCGTTTTCTATTTTATGCTTTTATGTTTACATGTTTTCATGTTTATGTTGCGTTTATATGTTTATTTTTATTTGGTTTTATGTTTATGTATGTTTATGTTTTTTATGTTTGTTTATGTTTATGTTTTTTATGTTTTTATATTTATGTTTTTCATATTTTATGTTTACATATTTAATAGATTAGAAATAAATACATATCACTTCTAATTCAACTATTTCATTATGTATTGAACTTTTAATGTATAAATGGAGTAAGATGTCATTCTGAATGTGTGGGAATTTACGTTGTTATTTAAAATTGTTATAATTAATTAATTGTTGATCTCAATTGTTCCGATCATGCTGCTAGAATATGTCTTGAATTTCATATTTGGAAGAAAAACAATCAGTATTTTAGGATAATTGGTGAACGTGTAACACATCGAGATCGACTAAATCAACAGCATCGATCGGCGCGTCCACAATCTTGGGCTTCTACAATCTCCACTGACAGTATTCGTTCTTCTGATGCAACTACAGATAGGTAAATAAAATAATCTGAAATCAAAATTTAATGATAAATTTTTCAAGATAATTTTTTTAGATAAATTACGAGATGTTAATCTTTTCAAACTAAGTAACTTGAAAACATTGTTTTCCATGATATTATAATAACTATTGGGGAAATACATTGCAGTAGTGTTGTGGATGGAAATGGTAATAATCCAAATGGTGCATGCTATTCATCATCCTCTTCTGGATCACCAACATTTGTTCCGGCCACATCGGATGAAGATCAGGATAATAATATCACTAAAACCGACCAGCTACAAACACGATCGTATAGTTGCCCAGAGGTTAAACAATTACTTTTTAATTTCAGTTCATTTTTGAATATATGATAAGTATATCGTACGATTACTCTCTACTTGGTTTATTGTTAACTATTATATCTTCAACTATTATATTTTTGATATTATAATCTTTTTGCCATAGAATTGTGAACAATAATTCTTCGACTATTGGTGTTTCATTGCCATAATTATTTTTATTTCAGTTTTTTATAATTATTGATTAAACTTCTATCATAATTGGGCTCTTTAACAAGTAATGATTAAATGATCGAAAGTTAAAAGTAAATTTCAAACTTAACTTTTTCAATTATTATCTTATCATTTCGAAATCAAAATCGATATTTCAGAATTCTCTGGAATTACCATCGTCATCACCATTAACAACAACAACAACAGCAACAATAACAGCAGCGACAACAACAACAACGACAACAACAATGCCATCTTCGGGAATATTAAATACAATGATATCATCCTCAGTATTAGCACCCAAATCAGTAATAACAACAATAACAACAACAGCACCATTGAATACAATTGTAGAGAGTTCTTCTTCCACTGAATTATTTGCAACAATTTAATATGCTCCCTTGTTTATTTTATAACTTTATTTTGATTTATTCTTTTCTCATTTTTTTTAAATCGATTAATAGTAATTAGTTTAGGATATTGAACAGGTAAAAAGAAAATGAAAGAGAAAAAAGTAAACAACTTGAAAAGATTATTGAATAAAATAAATAAAACAAAATGTCTTGTTTTCCTTTCATTCCCAATTTATACAATAATATTTCAACAGTTATCATTTTATGAATTAGGAAAAAGAAAATAAACAAAAATGGATCCGTACTAATAATAATAATAGAATGATCGTATCAGAAAGAAGAATTAGCAACAAAATTCATTTCATATTTTTTATCGTAGAAAATATTTCATTTATACAATAAGATCTATTGTGCTCATTATTTAGGTATATTATTATATCCAATAAATTGCTGCTATATATTTATTCTCTATTTTAATTCAATTCAATTACAATTCCTGGTGAATTTTTTCTTCTTCTTGTTGTTGTTATCATTTTATCATTATTTTTATCATTACATTTGACGCATTCCCTTGTAGTTTCCTTCTTTTATTTATCTTTATTTTTGTATATTTCATTTTTACTATTCGATATACATATATATGTTTTGCTTTATTGTGTAAATAAAATGAATGAATTGATATAATTATTTCATTATTAACATAATTTGCAATTTGTGCAACATATTGCTTATTACAACAAGAATTTCATCCCGTCAATTACTCATTTACTCTTAGTAATAATCTCTTTGTATGCGCTATTTTTGCTCACACAATAAGAATTTCTTATTTACTTACATGGAATAGTATGATAATTTATTTAATCCAATATTTACTTTTACAATAAGAGTTTAATATTACAATTGATGATTCATGTAATTTGTTATTTCCATTAGAATAGCACCTTAACTTCATCTATCCTCGTTGGCAAATCTTCCAAAGTTCTAAAACAAAATCACTAAAAAAATATGTATAATTTTGTAGTATATATAGGAATATAAGCCATTAAGATATTTTGTAACTGTTATTAAATGAATGAATTAAAATCTAAAAAATTTTATAGTATACAAATCTAAAATTTACAAAAAATTTCAACCTTAAACAAAGTTATCTTGTTGTTTTCCAAATTTGAGCAATTCTAACAAGAAATCAAATTATCAGAAGAAAGCTTTCCTTTGAAAATGATTTCTTTAATTTAGTTCGCTTGACGATCGCTCAATTTACAAATATTAATTGATAGAAATCATCTATGCGAAAACTGTTAGACTTGAAAAATTTAAGGACCGGTAATCGAATAAATTCATTTATATCCTTTTCTCTAATATTGAAAATTACTAAAAGATCGTCATAGGTATGTATAAATTCACGTATTGTGATAAATATACGTACAGTAAATAATAGTAAATTCACGTACGTGTTATGATAAATATTCGTCAACCATTAATGTCAAACGCAATAAATACATATAAGTATGGGAAATATATCTAACACTTACACATATCTTTGTTAACTTCAATTAAAAAAAGATAAACTATAATGCACACATCCTAGCTTAAGAATTGTTTTTAATCATTCCTGAGACGAGATAATTTCACAAGCTTCATACGGGCCAACATTTTTAGACGCATAAGCTGCTTTGAACCAATTCGTTTTTGCCACTTACGTTACATGTGACACGGGTTTTATTATGCTTTAATTAGAAGGATTCTTGATTTTAGGAAGGTACCATACAACTTAGCGAACGATGAATATCACATATGAGCCAAGAATCACGTGTGCAGAAGAAATTAGATTCGTCAAGTTGAACAGGTAATTAAATTTTATCCAGTAATGTAGCTACCATTTATTCATTTTATCCAGTAATGTGGCTTACCGTATAACATTCTCATACATCTTAGTAGTTCCTAAAACTTTGTATTGTTTTTTTTGAAATTTTATTTTATTTTTTTACTTTGCATTTTTATTGTTATTTCTTCTAATATTATATGGTTATATAGTTTTAGCTTTGATTTTATCCATTTTTGGAACAAAAAGGGTGAACTGTCAGAAGCGGACAAAGCTCTTCTTTACAAGGTTAGTTAATTTTTAATATATTAGTGAGTGTAAGTATTAGATATCTAATAGTGAGAGATGAAATATTGTCTCTTTTATATCTAGTTAAATTATTTATATCATTATTCAGTGCATTATCAACAATATTAAATAAATAAATAAATAAGTGTTTGGAATGCTAAAATTATCAAATATTGTGTGGATGTTCAAGATGTGGAAAAGAAAAAAATCCTTTACGTGATTGTCTGTGTTTCAGCTTTCAGCACTGCCACAAATTGTTGGTTCGATATATGG